CTTAACAACCGGGCTGCTAACTTATCAAGGACACAGATTCGCTTAGCAGCCGAGGCAGGCGGAGTCGTAAAATGGGGCAGAAGCTCACTTAACAAACGTCTCAGCAGAAATTTTGGGGCCGTGTTTGCGGCCGTTTCGCGGCGCCCCGCAGTTGCACAACTGCGGTTTACGATGTTTTCTTAATGGCCAACATGGCTCGCGGCCACCGTTCCAGGCTCAACTTCTGTTGTAAGCCGAGGACTGTCTGTGGTCCTTGTTGATCTAACCGGCAACCTCCTCCTCCTCCTCCTCCTCCTCTCCGCAGCTCTCCGGCTTTACGTCCGAACCCCGGGAGGTCTGCAGCTGTTTGTACGACCTGAAGACCGTCCTCTGCAAATCCTTCAGTATCCTTTCCAAATGGGGAGCACTCCCCAGGGGTGGGAGACAGGGGGGGGTGCTTTGACCTCTGCTAGAGAGCCCCCCCAAATCCTGATCTGATTCGGAGGAAGAGTCAGGAGAAAAACAGGACGTGCTTGAAAGAGATGGCTGCTGGTCTCTCGAGTCCAATCTGCCCTGGCCTGGGGTTCCTACTTCTTGCCTGGCGGGAGAGTTCCCAGCAGGGCAGGGCCGGCCTGGGCCCCTGGCAGAATTCGCATCTGGCCCAGCAGGAGACTCTGGGACGTTCTTCAGAGTCATTGGGAAGGGAATGCAGTTCCCGGTCCTATGGAGGAGAAAGCTTGGGGAGTGGGCCCGCGGAGGGTTTAGAAATGGGAGGGGGGCTTCACACAGCCACCCCCACCTTGCTGGGGCTATACAGGCAGTCCTTGGTTTACAACTGTTCATGTGAGGCCACAAAGGCACTGAAAAAGTGGACGTGTGACCGTTTTTCACATGTAATGACCGTCGCGACTTCCCCGGGGTCACGATACCAAAACGCAAACAGTTGGGAAACTGGCATGTACCTATGACGGGTGGCAGGGGTCACGTGATCCCCTCGGCCCGCCTTCCAGCGAGCAAAGTGCTCCTCGCTTAACCACCGCAGGGATCCACTTAACAAGGAACGCCATAAGGCGAGGCAAAACTCGCCGAGCGACTGTCTCGCTTAGAAGTGGAAACCGCGGGGTCGTAGGCCAAGGACTGCCTTT